AGGATTATTCTTTGGAACAATTGCAAAAGCACCTAAGGATTGAAGAAGAATCCAGGTTACGCGATAGAAGTGAAAACTCTTCGAAAGGAACTTCTAAAGCGAATGCTATAGAGAAATCTGAACCACCTGAAAAAACCAACAAAAGGAAGCCTTCAAGAAACTTTAACAAGTTCAAGAAGAAGAACAAAGGAGGTTGCTTTGTGTGTGGAAAGTCTGGTCACTATGCAAAAGACTGTAGACACCGGAAAAGAAAAAACTCCGAAGGAAAAATCAACTCCATTCAAGAAGAAAAGATTGTGGCCATCGTGAGCGAGATAAATGAAATTAAGGGAAAGGTTCCCGGGTGGTGGTATGATACTTGTGCTACGGTGCATGTATCATATGATAAATCTTTATTCAAGACCTATCATGAAATGGATGGAGATCAAGAGATTCAAATGGGCAACGAAGTTCGATCCAAAGTCATTGGTAAAGGAAATGTAGATTTAATTTTCACTTCCGGGAAAAACGTTACCCTCACTAATGTATTACATGTTCCGGATATGAATCGGAACTTAGTTAGTGGAAATCTCTTAGGAAAATCGGGTATCAAAAGTGTGTATGAATCTGGTAAACTTATATTATCCCTTAAAGGGAATTTTGTTGGAAAAGGCTATTCTTGTGAAGGAATGGTCAAACTATGTACTGTTGACAATAAAATAAATAAAGTTGATCTTGCTTATGTTGTGGATTTATTTTCATTATGGCATGCTAGGTTAGGACATATTGGTAAAAGTACCATGAAACAAATGAAAAAGTGTGACTTAATTTCATATGATGAAAATAACGAATATAGATGCAAAACTTGTGTAGAATCTAAGATGATTAAAAAATCGTATCAAAGTGTAAAAAGAACCTCTAGTATTTTGGAACTAATTCATACAGATATATGTGAATTAAACGGCATGTTAACTAGAGGTGGAAATAGGTATTTTATTACCTTTATCGATGACTTTTCTAGATATACATATGTGTATTTAATGATACATAAACATGAAGCATTTAACATGTTTAAGATTTATAAGAATGAAGTTGAAAATCATCTAGGAAAGAAAATAAAAACCTTAGGGAGTGATAGAGGTGGTGAATACTTTTCTAGTGATTTTAATTTATTTTGTGAACAACATGGTATAATTCATCAATGTTCTGCACCAAGGACTCCCGAACAAAATGGTTTGGCTGAAAGAAAGAATAGAACACTAGTAGAAATGATTAATGCTATGCTTGTATTTGCTAAGTTACCTTTTAACTTATGGGGTGAAGCTTTATTAAGTGCATGTAGGATACTTAATAGAATTCCTTCAAAACATACTAAGATTTCTCCTTATCAATTATGGAAAGGAAGAAAACCAAACATTGGATACTTCAAAGTGTGGGGGTGTCTTGCTTATTGCAAGAACACGAACCCTAATAGAAACAAATTAGGTCCAAGAGGCATTAAATGTGCTTTTATTGGATATGCTAACAATAGCAAATCTTATAGATTGTTAAATATGGAGACCAATGTGATTATTGAATCAAGTGATGTAGAGTTCTTTGAAGATTCGTTAATCTCGAATAACGAATTAAGGGAAAACCTTGGAAATATCCCAAGCTCAAGTGGAACATGGGATGAAATATCTTCTAAAGATATAAATGAATCTAATGAACCACGAAGAAGCAAAAGAACTAGAGTTAAGAAGTCTTTAGGACCGGATGAAATTGATTCTCAACTTATCTCATTTTACTTAGTAGAAGGAAATGAGTTGAATGTTGTAAGAACAATTCCTTTTGTGCTACAAGTGGAAACCGATCCTAAAACTTATAAAGAAGCTATGGCTTCTCGAGATAGCATGTTTTGGAAAGATGCAATCAAGGATGAAATGAATTCAATAATGTCAAATAAAACTTGGGAACTTGTCGATCTACCACCCGGATCCAAACCTATTGGTTGTAAATGGGTATTTAAGAGAAAATACAATGTTGATGGTTCTCTAAATACTTTCAAAGCTAGACTTGTAGCCAAAGGTTATCGACAAAAGGAAGGAATTGACTATTTTGACACTTATGCACCAGTAGCAAGAATAACTTCAATTAGGATATTGTTTGCATTAGCCTCGATATATGACTTGCATGTTCATCAAATGGATGTCAAAACGGCATTCCTAAATGGGGATCTCGATGAGGAGGTCTATATGGAACAATCAGAAGGTTTTGTTTTACCAAGAAATGAACATAAGGTATGCAAGCTAATTAAATCGTTATATGGGCTAAAGCAAGTACCTAAGAAGTGGCATGAGAAATTTGACTTAGCAATTATTTCATATGGATTTAAACATAATAGTGTAGATAGATGTTTGTATTCTAAAGTGTGTGATGATTACATAATATTTATATGCTTATATGTTGATGCCATGATGATTATAAGTAATCACATGGATGGGATAAAAGAAACGAAGAGGTTTCTATCTTCCACATTTAAGATGAAGGATCTTGGACAAGTCGATACTATTTTGGGTATCAAAGTCTCAAAGACTAGTGGGGGTTATTACCTTAGTCAATCACATTATATTGAGAATGTGATAAATAAGTTCAAACATTTGAACATAAAAGAGTATAATACCCCTATCGATCCAAGCTCAAAACTTGTAAAAAATGATGGAGAAATTGTTCAATTAGATTATGCAAGTGCTATTGGAAGTCTTATGTATGCAGTTCAATGCACAAGACCAGATATAGCCTATGCAATAAGTAAACTTAGTAGGTTTACTAGCAATCCAAGTAATGAACATTGGAAAGCAATTGGGAGAGTTCTCGGATACTTAAAGAAAATCAAGAACTTAGGTCTACAATATACTAAATTTCCAGCAATATTAGAAGGATTTACTGATGCTAGTTGGATATCTAGCACGAATGAAAGTAAATCAACTACGGGTTGGGTGTTTACTCTAGGAGGAGGTGCAGTTTCTTGGAAGTCGAAGAAACAAACATGCATAACACATTCAACTATGGAATCTGAATTTGTAGCCCTATCAGATACAGGAAAGGAGGCTGAATGGCTTAAAGACTTATTCTATGAGATACATTTGGGATCAAAGAATATTTCTTCAATACCAATAATGTGTGATAGTCAAGCCACTTTAGCTAAAGCATACAATGATGTATATAACGGGAAGTCTAGACATATGAGTCTTAGACACAACTACATAAGGAAGTTAATCAAGGATGGAATAATTTCCCTAAATTATGTAAGGTCGAATGAAAATTTGGCGGATCCTCTAACTAAACCTCTAAATAGAGATTTAGTGGCATCTACTTCAAGTAGGATGTGATTGAAACTCCTTAACTGAAATATCCACCAATGATGGCAACCCTACCTGTCATTACTCAAAAAGGTTTTTCACGGGTTCAAAGGGTATCAACAAGTCATTCGATATGTGGATAGTTACAGCATTATTATAATCCGCTGTAATCCTATCCTAGATTAATATAATGCTGGTTGTTACTAAAACGAGGGTTGAGCTATAAGCTCTTAATAAAGTTCAGTGTAAAACCACAAGTACTTCTAAAAGTAACAAAGGTACTGGAAGAACTTTACCTAAATAAACTTCAAGGTGGTGCCGCCTTAATAGAGAGTTGGAGTTCTCTCTTAAAAGTTTATTGAAAAGGATAAGCGCAAGGCCATAAAAGCGCTAAGCGAGAAACGAGAAACTTGAGAACACGTGATATTCGTGTGTGTGTTCTTACCGGTATTGTCACATGAAATACTTGGTTCAAAGCTTCACGCTACCTTGAATTTCGACTTTACTTTGTTTGAATTACACAATGGTTAGATTCAAATCGAAAGATATCTAATCCTTACGCATGAGTATCGTATAATTTGAATAATGAGAAACTTGTTAATTTTGAACAAGTGGGGGATTGTTATGAAGTGGTATAATTGTTCAAAACCAACAATAAAAAAAAAAAAATTAAAAAAAATTAGGCCATGCATGCGACCGCATGGAACCCTACCGAGACCATATGGTCTTGGTAGGATTGTACCATGCGACCGCATGGGTTTGTACCATGCGGTCGCATGGTACAGAAAAACGACCGTTGGGTCATTTTTTGTTGGTTTTTTGGTGGCTTTTCATCCATAAGGTGCACCACTTCGTAAAGCTATACTACTTGGCTATAAATAGGTGATCTTGGGTCATTGAAAAATGTTGAAAAAACACTTATTATATTGATCCTTCTTGAGATCAAATCCAAAAGATAAAATACCCTCTCATATTCATCTTTTCTTTGTGTTCTTAAGTTTTAGAGATTCAAACAAGTGTTTAGTGTTTGAATCTCTATAAGGTTTGATTAATCCTTTAAACCTTTTGCCGGATCACCCTTTAAACACCAAAATAGTGGGAACAAAATTCGTTTGAGGACAACAATCAAAGATTGTGTTTGAGCCTTCAAAGTTCTTCATATATCCTTTGCCATTTGTTCATCTCCTATACTTCTTTCGATAATTTTTCTATTTGTAATTCGTTCTCATCTTTGGTGGAGTAACATTATTTCCAACAAATGGTACTAAGCTTGGCATTGGAATTGGTGGCGACGATGAGGGGTTAGGATAATCATGTTGGTGGTTGTGGATGAAATGACACTAGGGTTTGGTGGTGGAGAGATTTGAAATATTGTAGGGAGAGAATTGCTTGAGTTGGAAACAGTAAACGATTATTGAATAATGATATTTGTAATGAGTTATTATAGTAGTTGTCCTATATGACATTTTATGTGTCACGATGATGATAATAATAATAATAATAATAATGATAATAATAAAACAATCAAATAAATTTTCATATAAATAATAAATTATTCACGATTATTTAATAAGAAGTTATAAATAGAAAATAGAGATATTCTTAAAAGGGGTTATCTAAATGAAGTCAAATTGAGACTTTAAAAAAGAGGGTAATTTTGAATCTTTAAAAGTAAAGGGTGTTGTGGCATAGTTGAGGAAAGATTACATAACTACAGGTTTAATTATGCATTTTCAAACTAGAGAAACTAGATACTTTCTTTCAAAAATTAGGTCATAAATAAGTAATTAAATATATTTTATTAGTTAAATATGTTAAGGTCACAATATCATATAGATTGCCAGCACAATTATGTATTAGTCACAATTATGTATTAGTCACAATCACAAATTGTCAAATTAATTAATCACGACTTATTTTATCGATCATTAATTAAAAAATTTATATGTCACAACTTATTTATCATCACAAATTATCAAATTAATCAATCACAACTTATTTCGTATTTACAAACCACAAATTGTATAAGTCACGACATTTTTTTTTTCAGAATCACAAATTACAAGTTTCATAGTCAAGACTAATTTCTTGATTACAAATCTCAAATTTTTAGGTCACAGCTTATTTATTGGACACAAATTATCAAATTAATTAATTACAACTTATTTTAAGCCACAAATTATCAATTAATTGATCAAAATAACTCAATTAACCGATTACATATTACTCTTCGTCTCCCCATGTCACTCCACCGCCATTGGGACCACCTAAATAGATTGCTGGTGTCGCCTCAAAAGCACAACCCAACACCACCTCTTCCTCTTCCTCCAATGCATCACCAACACCACCACTTGCAATGCACTACTACCATCGTCGTCGCCTCCTACACTTCAACCCACCACCACCACGAAAGGCACTTCCACAACCCATTATCACCACGTGCACAACATTGCTACCACCTGCACCATAAGCCATAGCCATCGCCACAACAAATCTAAAATCAACACCTCGTCCACCTTCACCTCTTCTTTGTACATATTCGACCTATGAAACTATTCATTCATGGAGAAGAAGATCAAAATGAAGAAGGTAACAACACAAGAGGTAAAGCGTCAAAGCATTACCGTCATCATTCTCACTGTGCATGATGCTCATTACCACTACTTCGTTCGCAGCAACGATGGGCACAGTTATGTAGTTCGACGTTTGTTGCATTGCACATGAAGCACGCCGCTGTTATCCACTAGCCACCATCTCTTGATATTATGAAGTTTCAACCTTAATTTTAAGAGTCACAAATGGGAAATCATTTAGGGTTTGGAAGTGAAATCGAGTTGGGTGGATGAGTCATGGATATGCTGATTAATTTAATTTTATAATATTATTATTAATATTAAAAAGTTGAATTATCTCCTAATTTTTGAACAAATTTTTTTTCAACAATCATGTGTCACTGTGTGGGTGTAAATTCCTCCATAATTAAACCATTCTTTTTCTGGATTCAACAATCGGGCCCGGTCGGGTCCCCAAGAGTAGACCAGCAGGCGGCAACTAATCGGCCATAACTGTAAAGTAATGGGCCTCCGTGTCTTCAGCTTAACAGTGTATTATCATCAGCCACCACCCAAACCCTGCTTCACACTCCCCGCGCCCGCGCCCGCGCCCGCGGCCGCGCAACCCCAACCCCCACTCCGACAACAACACCCACAAATAAACCCTCATTTCTTCGTTAACCAAAAAATCCGAATATCTCATCAGAAAAAAGTTCACCTCTTCTACTCACCGCCATGGCTGATGTTCAAATATCTCACTCAGAGAAAAAGAAGAAGAAAAACAAAAGCAAAGAATCCGACCCAATTGAAAAACTCACTGACCCGACGCAGAATACCAATGAAATGGATGCAGCTATTGATTTCTTGATCAAGCCACAAAGTTATACTCCCTCTATTGATACTTCTCAGTGGCCAATCCTTTTGAAGAATTACGATAAGTTAAATGTACGCACTGGGCACTATGTTCCTATTCCCTCCGGTTACTCCCCTTTGAAACGCCCTTTACCCGAGTATATTAAGTATGGGGTGATGAATTTGGATAAGCCCGCTAATCCGTCGTCCCATGAAGTTGTGGCATGGATTAAACGTATTTTGCGGGTTGAGAAAACGGGTCATTCGGGCACACTTGATCCGAAGGTTACTGGGAACTTGATTGTGTGTATTGATAGGGCTACGCGTTTGGTTAAATCCCAGCAGGGTGCTGGGAAGGAGTACGTGTGTATTGCTAGGTTGCATTCGAAGGTGCCCGATGTGGCAAAAGTGGCTCGGGCACTGGAGACACTGACGGGGGCGGTTTTTCAACGGCCTCCTTTGATTTCTGCTGTGAAAAGGCAGCTGAGGATTAGGACTATTTATGAGAGTAAGTTGCTTGAGTACGATGTGGATAAGCATTTGGTTGTGTTTTGGATATCCTGTGAGGCGGGCACTTATGTGAGGACTCTGTGTGTGCATTTGGGTCTTTTATTGGGTGTGGGAGGGCATATGCAGGAGCTGAGGAGAGTGAGATCGGGTATTATGGGGGAGAAGGATAATATGGTGACGATGCATGATGTGATGGATGCACAGTGGGTTTATGATAATTATAGAGATGAGAGTTATTTGAGGAGGGTGATTATGCCGTTGGAGGTTCTTTTGACTAGTTATAAAAGGCTGGTTGTGAAGGACAGTGCAGTGAATGCCTTATGTTATGGCGCGAAGTTGATGATCCCAGGGTTGCTGAGGTTTGAGAATGATATTGAGGTTGGCGGGGAAGTGGTGTTGATGACGACTAAAGGAGAGGCAATTGCATTGGGGATTGCAGAGATGACAACTGCAGTGATGGCCACTTGTGATCATGGAGTTGTCGCCAGGATTAAGAGGGTAGTGATGGATAGGGATACGTACCCGAGGAAGTGGGGGTTGGGGCCAAAGGCATCAATGAAAAAGAAGTTGATTGCTGAGGGGAAGTTGGATAAACGTGGGAAACCAAATGAGAATACCCCAGCCGAGTGGTTGAGGAATGTGGTTTTGCCTACTGGAGGTGACTCTATGGTTGCTTGCCTTGCTGCGGAGTCCCAGCTGGCTACTGATGAACTGAAGGTGGATAGTGCTGTTATTGAAGGTGAGAAGAAGAAGAAGAAGAAACATAAAGAAATTGATGGAGACGAGGGGTGGAAGCGCAAGCTAGATGAGATTGGTGGTAGCCCTGCGCTGGATGCAGCTGCCAAGAAAGCAAAGATGTCCTCAGAAGTCAAGGATGAGACTGTGGAAGTGGACATCGGGAAGGAAGAGAAGAAAAAGAAAAAGAAAAAGAAGAAAGAAGGGGTCGACATAGGTGTATCTCCTGATGGTGAAAAAGCAAAGATGGATAAGAAGAAGAAGGATAAAGTGAAGGAAGATGTGGCGGCATCAGACGAGGAGAAGTCTGAGAAAAAGAAGAAAAAGAAGAAGCACATGGATGCAGAGAATGGTGACTCCTCAGTTTTACCTGCGGCTCATCATGAAGCAAATAAAAGTGAAAAGAAGAAAAAGAAGCACAAAGATGCAGAGCATTAGATTTAAGTGCCCAAGTCTCGGTTTCGCCCAAGGAATGGCATTGTTGTGCGCGACTATATATCATCTGCATTAGAGCGTGTGTTCTATCCTTTGACTGATAATTTAGCTCCATTGCTCACCAACCTTGAGCTCTGAACAATCGACCCATTACATTTGTACGGTAGCTCTAGCATGTTTTGCTGGTTAGTAACTTAACGGCTGCAATGTTTTTCCTTATATAAATTGCGAGAAACTTAGTTTTGGTTTTCATATAACTCTTCATTCTATTATTTACCAAATCTTTTTAGCACATGCATTTAGAATAGTAAATTCCTGAAAAGTACATGCTGATGAACTGATTCCAAATTTCTTAGGAACAATGCTTATTATTTTTGTTGTATTTTTTTTTTCTGTTTTTTAACTAAAACTGGTTGAATATGTCATCGTCTGCTTGGAATGCTAGTATTTGTATGAGCTTAGTGCAACATAGCTTTAACCTTAAGAGTGATTGGTATACTAATGTGTTAATTTAGAGTCATAATTCACGAAGTGAAGTATTAGAACGTTATATTTGCTCATCTAGTTCTGTCCAGATTGGTTAGCATCTCCACATGTTTTGTCTCTCATCGAACTAGAAACTGGGTTTGCTGAAGGGTTGGAATTGTAGAGTTGAAGTCAAGATTCTAAAACCTTTTCTAGTTCTAGTTATATATGAAATGTTTGTATCAACATTTGAATGTTGCTATGCAAATAGACAGAACTGAGTATGGATGTTCAATACTGATATTTTTCTTGATGTCATCTGTTGAAATTCCATCAAACTTCCAATAATTCTTCCTATGCAAAGAATTCAATACAGAATACAAGCTGCCTTCAGCAAATGAATTGAAAAAAAAAAATCTGGAAAACATGAAACATAGATTATAAATCAAACATCTCACAGAAAACCACTTTTTACAATAACTTATTAATAATGAAATCACAGATCATATCCCAATTCTCGAGAACTAGGATCCCTTAGACAATTTTCTTGCAGTAATCAGGCTTTTTGTCAACCAGATTGCTGTCTCTCTTGATGAGACAGCATCTTCACTGAACGGTTTCAACACGCCCGCAAGTTCATCGAGCTTGTCCTGCTTAAGTAAACGTGCACATACTTCCAGCAAAGACTCTAAAGCATCAGCTCTCTGTTGGCTCGGGTTTTCCCACTCACCCTTGCTTTCAGAGGCAATTCCGACTAATGCACTTAACAATAATTCTTCTTCACTAGATGCATGATTTATCACTTGCATGTCATCTTCCTGGATTTGCACCAGGTCACTTTTGGTATCTGCCATAACTTTCACCTCGTTCGTGCTTTCAATCAACGTGTTATCTAAACGCACTCCTGAACAATCACCAGTGCTTTCTTCTTCGTTCAAATAGTTCCTTGGTTCTGCATCAGCTTCACATCTTGCAGTTTTACTGCTTTTCACTGTAACAAAATCCTCCATGTTTGTTTCTGTTTCCTCATTTTCCCCGGGATCGGGTGGAGCCTCCGGTTGTGGAACGTGCTTTTGAGGAGATAATTCTTCTTCTTTTAGCTCTGCACTCGATGGAAATGTCAAAACATCCATAGTGTTGGTGCATTCTTTTTGTGATGAAGATTCAATGTTGTCCTGATTGTCTCCATTGCAAGCAGTCGTCTTACAACTTGTTTTCTCACTTTTCGAGTCTTCACTGTCAGAAGATATTTTACCTGAGTAGCTCGTGGGATCGACCCTCTTCGTTTCAAGTCCATCTCCTATTGAGTTATCCCCTTCCAGTAGCCTTTGACGTTGCATATCAGCAGTTTCCTCATAAGCTGGAAGCAGTCCCCTCTCTGTTAGTTTTACCTCTCTTTCTTTGTCATCTTTTCCACCGCCAGATTTGCTAGGAGAAGGTCTTCTAATTTTCTCCTTCGAGTTGTTAGGAGATTTCACAGGAAGAAAGACAGTAGATGGGCTGTGACACCGAAGGAGAAATGGCTGCAAATGCGCGTGCCTTAACAGCTCCGCAGCCTGTATATTTGAGATGTATGGAAATTATGATTTATAATTTCTTTGCTTGTGTAGAGGTGTAAACTAGACCATGCCAGGTTAGGAAGTGACCTGGGGTGCAGCCCATGTTGGCCTTTACAGCTGAACCCGGCAGATCCCAGCTATAGAGACGGGCTAGCCCCAATCCATGGTTCTCACCTCCAGGCCACCCAGACCTGCGCAGCCTTGCAGGTTTGACACCTCTACCTGTGGAAGGGGGAAAAAAAGAAGAAGAAGCTTGAACTCACTGTTGGCCTGCGTTCCGGACTTTTCCGTAGCATGCTTTTAATGATCTGTTTCCTGATATATTTAAACTGATTTAATGTCTTTAAGTATAGCCATATCGTTAAGAGCAAAATTTATGGGCTAATACTTAATAAGAGATGAAATGGAGATGACTTACAGAGTGGAGGAGTACACAATAGGAAGTGGAGAAATGGAAGATCTGTTTATCTTGTTTACAAGTCCAGCCATATCCTGTTTGATTCAGTTATTCTAATTATGACATCGAACTACATTGTGGAGCAATGATATACTAAGCCCCCGTTTGGCCCCCTTCTCATTCTTTCTCTCTCTTCTATTATCAACCACACAATCTTCCATAAAATAATATTATACGTTAATAAAAAACTTTTCATTCTTTTTCAACCACACATTTTTCAAAAAAACACTCTTACAACCATTGTAATTTGACAAGAATGGAGGCCAAATGGGGGCTAATTCCAGCGTGACAGTAACAGTATTTTCAGCTGAAAGTTTGAACTTACTGGAGCTCTAAAAGGTGGTTGGTGTGCAGCAATCTCGAACAAACAGCAGCCTGATATTTTTTCTAAAGATGTTAGTTTTCGTATTAAAAGCATGGCAATGTGAACTTAGGGATTCTTGGATTCTAATTTTTTACCAAGTGACCATATGTCCGATTTGTAGCCATACGGCATATCTGCAAGAAGCTCCGGGCACATGTAGTTGGAAGTTCCAATGACCTAGTTTGAGGTATAGAAAGTATCAGCTAAAGTTTGCATCTTGAAAGCAAATTCCTATTCACGAGAAAGGAAAACAAGCAAAGCGCACTCAAATTCATAATGGTTTACCCTCAATAGAAGAGCTATGTTAATTTGCTGCTGCAGGTTTCACTATAATGGAGAAGATTATTGATGCCAGATGTAATAGAAGAATTGTAGGAGAGGGGGAAAGGGGAGAGAGGAGGAGAAAGGAGGGAGAAAAAGAAGAAGAGAGGGAGAGGAAGAGAGAAATAGGGGAAGAATATCAATTTATTTCATAATCAAAGGTTATTTATTACAACACAAAAAATCCCTTTATATAGGGTTTAAACTAGTGCTAATTTAAGCAGGAAATTATTCTAAAATCAATGAAATCAAAACACTTATTATGTTTCCTAGAATAAATATCAAAATTGGAAACTAAATATCATAATATCTCTTTAGTATTGCATCAATTATAGTCGTGATTTCACACTTTAGTTTAAACAAAACTCTAAGAAGTCCTTAATATACATGCACGAATATTAGGATGGCATAGTACATATATAGAATCCCTATATACCCCGATTAAAGCAATATCGGCGGTGTATAGTACGATTAGGCTGCACACACTTCAATGGATCCTTGACTGAAGCAAAAAAAGAACCCATCATCTTAAGTATCTTGCAAGGGGTGGAAAATGAAAGATATCAAACCACCAAGGACACAAACCTTCCTTGAATTGCTCTATACAGAAGTGAAGGTCAGATTTGGTCTCTGCATCTAAGGTAACCAGTAAACTCTCTTAGCTTTCTCATTGTGCCAAGGCTAGTTTTAGTTATAGTAGAATATGACCTTTTAGATTTAATAAATGCTTACCGACGAGGCAAGGCCTTCCTCGTTGAGAAGTTTTGCCAATCCAAAATCACCTTTGAGTTCCATTGAAAGAATAAACAGAGAATTAGAAACAGAAGTGAAGAGCAAGCAGAATCAAAGCATTTTCATTGGCCTTACTTACCAAGACGGATGTCATTGTCCTTTGTGATGAATATATTAGACAACTGGAACCATATAAACTCGTATTTAGAAAAGATCGGGTCAAAATCATATCTTCGTAGTACCAAATGACTGAAGACCAAACCTTCAAATCTCTATGAAGGACTCGGTTGGAATGCAGGTAGTCCACAGCTAATAACAACTGAGTTAACCACTTGCAAAGATTCTGTAGAGCGAACAGAAATAACAGTTCATGCAAATGCAAGTAAGGGGTATTTCAATTTCATGAATTTACATCAGATTACCTCCTCTGGAAAAAGTGCTCCTCTACTTTTCCTTGAGATCTCAGCCCTGAATATTGCAGGATAGAAGGTAAATCACCATCCTCATATTCAATTATTGTTCTATATTCACTTCTTTAACTTTATTTCCCACATGTAAGGGTTTGTTTGGCATGGTTTTGGGAAAATCAAAAGTTGCTTCTAAGACTGAGAAGCTGGTTAACCTACATGGAAGTGCTTTGTTTGGTTAAAAGAACTTTTAGAGAGCCAGCCAAAAATGGATTCCTTATGAAATTCTTCTACAAAAACAGAAGCCATCCCAAATATGCTTTAAGGTGAAGCATTCATTGAATCACAAGGTACTCGAGTCCTTGATTAATTGACAACTTATACCATTTATGGACTTCCAAGTATCAGTTCTCACAAAAAGCATTTCACTGCATCTTCAAGTTTGATAATACTATTTGGAATTGGCAGATGGGCCAAAGGGGTGCATGAACACATTTAGGGTGGGCTCGGGAACGAGCACTTACATGTCTCCGCCTTCACAATAACTTGTTACAGTGCATATACAGCATCCCTGTAAATAAACAGTGGAAATTAAATGTTTTTTAGGATTAAGATTCAGCTAAAGAAACTTTTGTGCATCCTAAAGTTATTTCTGCGGCTTGCTATATACCTTTTCGACCCAAGCATCGTTGTATTCGACAATATATGGATGGTGTAGTTTTGCAATTAAATTCATCTGCAACAGAGATACAAAAATTGTCTATGTTCAACTACAAAGGACATTTACAATCATTAATCATCTATAAATCTTTGAAAAGAATTTAATGATGTAATATGATCATGATGGTTAAACGATCTTTATAGCTTAAAAGACACCTCTTGGTGAGCGATTCGCTTGAATTTCTCTGTTTGCTTAGCCAAACTAATCTTCTTTAAAACGTACCTATCAAAGATACGAGAAACGACAATTGAAACACTGTCTAAAATAAACAATTTCAACTTCCATAATTACGAAACAAGATTAAACTAAGACTTTTCCCCGTATATTAGGGGCTAACTATGTGAATCCTTTTTCGCTAGAATGTCTAGTCATTTCTACCAATGTATATTTATACCTAAAGAAATCTAGTACCCTTCAATGTTTTGGAGACAAGCATCAACGCACACCCCCTTTTTCTTTTTTCTTTTTTTGCATATACAACCATACAAAAAACTTTTGAAGAGAAATGCTTACTTTTTATTCTCAGTTTTGTGAAGAACAAGAAATGTTGCTCCAAAAGCACCTCTCCCAATTTGCTTAATTACTTCATAATTTCCCATTTTATACTTGTTATCACCATTCTCCATCTCCATTAGGCCCTTCAAATTAAACCGTGCTGTAAATTTCCTGTATGCAATCAAAAAAAGCAAAGCTTATAATTGTTTAAATTATAGCCTTCTTTTCAGGGAGGCTCTTAAAGAAAGTGTTGCGGGTGGGTAGGGTGAGGGGGTGGTGACGCTAAAGGGAAGAGACAAGGGAAGCATATTATATAGTAGATAATTAAAGAAGAAGATTATTCCATAAGCGAGGCTTAACTAAAGCTTAAAAAAAAGCACCGATTTTGATGTGGGAAAAGGTTTATTTACCTAAAAAATGTAAAACCTGAATGAGAAGTAACACAGGGGGCCAAGTAAAGGTACATATCAGTTTTCAAGCAATTAATTAAGCAGAAAAGTTCATTAATCTTTAAAATAAGAAATTTTCTTGTGGGGTTAAAGGTGGAAAGGTTAATGATAGGGATGGAGGAGCAAATAAAAAGGGGTCCAGGAAGAACTTTGCTTGTATATACGGAATGATGAAGAAATATTTTCCGATGCTATAGTTATAATGTCATAATCCTTATCTGATTTGTGTATGCTATTCAATTAACCTCTGAAATTTATCTTTGAAACAGTTCTTGAAAAGATAAGATTCTCAAACATTCAATCAATTAACGTTCAAAATCCTCAGATATTAGCTCAAATCGAAGTTGATGAAAATTGCTTATTCAAATCTTACTACCACTTATTTTATAAAAATTATATATAGCACCGATTCCCACACGTGAGGACACCTATTAAAAAGAGTAATGTTACGTGACAAAATAAAATTTAAATTAGTAAGCTAGCTTTTAATTTGTAAAAACTTGTCGAGCTCAGCAGTGCTCATTGTAATATATAGATCAACTCAACTCGTTTGTCACTCCTAAATATAACCAATGAGGATAATTTGCACGTTGGAGGATGTTTCTATCTAAAATTCATTCCTGCCCAGTATGGTTAAGCTTGAGAGTTTGGTCTTGCTTCAAATCGTCGAGGTGAAATATCAGTTTGGCCACCTAAACAATGATTTACCTCAAAAATTGGCTTTTAATTGGTGGCTTACTTATCAATACAAGAAGGAAGACGAATTGAAAGAACAACTAGATTAATTGTTTCTCTTCTTCATATTACATATTTGTAGCTGTAGAATAAATCTATACATGGAGGAGAATAAACTATACAAGGAAAATAATAATAAAGATATTGTGTAATACTCCCCCTCAAGTTGGAGCACGGAGATCCGTAATGCCCAACTTGGATTGGAAGAAAACAAATAATTCACGTCCCAAGGGCTTAGTAAAAATATCTGCCTGTTGTTGAGAAGCCGAGACGTAGGAAGGAGTAAGTAGACCGGATCGAATTTTTTCACGAACCAGATGACTATCCAATTCAATGTGTTTGGTACGTTTATGAAAAGCTGGATTTCGAGCGATGTGAATAGCTGCCTGGTTGTCACAATGAAGAAGAGCAGGTTGAGAGTGAGGCATAGCAATGTCGTGCAGGAGGAGACGAATCCAGACAAGCTCACAAGTGGTGGATGCCATAGAACAATATTTAGCTTCAACTGAATAACGAGAGATAGTTGGTTGCCATTTTGTGCGCCAAGAAAGTGGGCTGTCGCCTAACTTGATGACGTAGCCAGTAGTGGATTGGCGTGTGAGTGGACAGCTATCCCAATCAAAATTACAAAAGGTAAAGAGCTGAAAGCTACATGTGGATGAGAAGAATAGACCATAGCCAAGAGTGGTCTTCAAGTAGCAGAGGACACGGAGAGCTGCAAGGTGATGAAGAACATGAGAAGCATACATGAACTGACTGAGAACATTGACGGTGAATGTGATATCTAGTCGAGAAACAATCAAGTATATCAATCGCGCAATTAATCTTCGATATGAACTAGGATCGATCAAAAGGTCACCATCCGAGTTAGTAAGTTTTAAAAGTTGCTCCATGGAAATTAAGCAGGGCGAGATCCTAGTTGACTAGAGTCTGAGAGAATATCCAAAGTACATTTACGATGATTGATGAAGATGCCAATAGGGGAACGAGCAACCTCAATTCCAAGGAAATACTTGAGATCACCGAGATCTTTAATCTTGAATGTATCAGCAAGATGAGATTTGATGGAAGTGATGGCAAAGAGATCATTACCAGCCACAAAAATGTCATCGACATATACAAGAATAGCTATGAAAACCATTCCTTGAATTTTGGTAAAGAGACTATGATCAACGGAGGATTGGCTGAAACCTGCAAGATTGAGAGTATGAGATAATTTCGAGTACGATTGCCGAGACACTTGTTTGAGTCCATAAAGAGATTTGTGAAGACAACATACGTACATCTCATCGTGACGACAATACCCTGGTGGGGCGTCATGTATACTTCCTCATCAAGATCGCTATGGAAGAAAGCATTATGAACATCCAGCTGGTGTACGATCCAATGTTTAGCTGCAGCTATAGTAAGAAGACAACGGACAATAACAAGTTTAGCCACAAGTGTAAAAGTATCATGATAGTCAAAACCTTTTACCTGAGTAAAACCCTAGGCAACTAAACAAGCCTTATGGCTTTCGATGGAACCATCTGCACACAATTTTGTTTTGTAGACCGAGGAAGAGTTTCAAGGGTCCATGTTTGGTTAGCCTCCAATGCCTGAATTTCTGAGGCCATCGCTCGTCGCCAATGGAGCTCAAGGATAGCTTGAGAATATAGAAGAGGGTCCTGGATGTTTTTCAAGACAGAAGATAAAAAGGTAAAGTGTTTTGGACTAAAGAAATGATAAGAGAGAAAATTGGGTAAAGAATGAACCGTACCTGAGAAGGACTGAGAATAAGACGTTGAACGTGTGGTCTTCAACGGCAAGTTTGAGCAAATGTAATCCCTAAGGTATGTGGGACATGTGATGGTGCGGCGAAGTCTTTGTGAAGTGGGTGTGGATGGGATGGTGTTTGAGAGGTCGTCTGAGGGATTTGCAGGAAATGTAGAATTGGGGGATAGGGATGGATCGAGAGATGCAGTGGCGGAAGGGGTTGATGATGGAGAAATGGAGTTAGAACTTGGCTTGATGTTAGGTGATGGAAAATGATGATATATATCCAGGAAACGTCGATCGTCAGGTGGGGAAGGTGATGGTGATTGTCCTGAGTGTGATGGGAGAGTAGCAAAAGGGAAGACAGATTCTACAAAGTGTACATTACGAGAAAGAAAAATAGTTTTTGTGTTTAGGTCATAAGCACGATAAATGTGTGGGGTTTGAGTATAGCTGATAAAGATGCAAGGGGTAGCGTGAGGGGAGAATTTATCACGATGGAGTTTCAAAGTGCGTGCACAACAAAGGCATCCAAACACGCGAAGATGATCATATGAGGGGCCCTTTTGAAAAAGGAGCTCGTAAGGAGTTTTGAGTTGGAGAGAGGAAGAATGGGTGCGATTGATTAAATAAGTAGCAGTGAGTATGCATTCGCCCAAAAAGGAAATAGGTAAATGGGCATGAAAAAGAAGACACCGAGCCACATTTAAGAGATGGCGATTCAGCTCCACCATTTTGTTGTGGTGTTTTAACACAAGTTTGTTCATGGATGATGCCATGATCAAGAAAGAATTTTTGCATGCGATGGGAAAGGAAATTTTGACCATTATCAGAACGAACATATTTGATAGAACAATTGAAGTCTCTATTAACCATTTTAATAAAGGTCGTGAGACAAGAAAATGTGTCAGATTTAAAGCGCATAAGGTATACCCAAGTAACATGAGAAAAATCATCGACAATAGTGAGAAAATAATGTGCACAAGATGTAGATGGTGTAGAATAGCTACTCCAAATATCACAAAAAACACGATGAAATATGGAATCACTTTTATTCTCAACTAATTTAAAAGGATGACGACTATGTTTGCCTCGAATACAACTATCACAATTCTCAATCATATCCGACGTACATAAAAATTTTGGAATACAAGAAATGGAAGGGTGACCTAAGCGGAGATGCCATAAGGTTGAGGTGGAATTAGCCTTGAAGCCGATTTGTAGTGCAACTGGAGAAATAAGCTTAAGATGGTAGAGGCCACCCCATTCTTCACCCATTCCAATCAACCTCCTCGTGTGTTGGTCCTGAAAAAAAAACGTGAGGGAGAAAAATTACAATGCAATTGGATGTTTTAATGAGCTAGCTAACAGAGAGTAAATTATAAGTAAATTCAAGGACAAAAAGCACATTAAAAAGAAGTGTAGAGAGAGACGAATATGGCCCTTATGAGTAACTTGAGCCGAGACACCTGTAGGTAGAGTTAAAGACTGCGAGTCACGAGAACGTTGGTAGCAATAGATAAATTGACAATAGAGAAGATATGGGGCTGAAGCCTCAGTGTCTATGATCCATGGCAGAGTAGTTTTAGAGGTCAAGGACGAGATACCAGAGAAGCTATTAGCGCTGGGTTGAAGAAGGTCCATCAATTGCTGATAGTTTTCATCAGAGAGGCCAGGAATCACACTTGATAGTGTTATAGTATGTGGTGATGGACATGGTACCTTGTTTGAGGTTTACAAGATCACAATAAAGGCCATAGAGGTGGGGTTGATTACTTTGGCAAAAACGGTTGTCCAAATCCATCCAAACATCAAATGATTTTGAACAATAAATTAATCTTTAGCGTAAAGATTTATCAATCGAATTGAAGAGCCAAGAGAGGACCATATCATTGCAACGATCCCAGAGTGCAGCGATTGAAGAATCTGCTAATTTTTCTAGAGAACCATTGACGAAAACAAGCTTATTTTTGGCATTAAGGGCCATGCGCATTGAACGTTTCCAGGCAGGATAGTTATCACTGGTGATGAGGTCAGGCACTAAGACAGCACCAGGATTGTCAGCAGGTTAAGAAGTATGGAGAAGTGATGTCGTTGATCAATTGAGAAGGAGTTTGAGTACTGGTCAAGGTGAAGGAATGAGAAAATTAAGCTACTGGAAGGAGAATTTATACTGCTGGAAGAAAACGTGCTGCCAAAATTTTGCTGCTAGAAGAAAAGGTGCTGCTGGTGAGAATTTCGATAGAGGACGGTTGTTGGCGGAAGTTTTGATCTTACTGCTCTGATACCATAATACAAGGAGGAAGATGAATTGAAAGAACAACTAGATTAATTGTTTCTCTTCTTCATATTTCAT